TTTTTTTTTTTTTTTTTTTTTTTTTTTTTGGTTTTTTCGAGACAGGGTTTCTCTGAGGTTTTGGAGCCTGTCCTGGAACTAGCTCTTGTAGACCAGGCTGGTCTCGAACTCACAGAGATCCGCCTGCCTCTACCTCCCGCCTCCCGCCTCCCGAGTGCTGGGATTAAAGGCGTGGGCCACCACCGCCCGGTGACCAGAACCCAAGTTCTTTTTGTTTTGTTTGTTTTGTTTTTATGGTTTCTCTGTATAGCTATGACTTTTGGAGTTTTGGAGCCTGCCCTAGAAGACCAGGGCGGCCTTGAACTCAGAGATCCACCTGCCTCAGCCTCCCGAGTGCCCTGTAGGCGAGCACTGGGAAAGCCCTTGACTGACATCAGCGTGGGGTGTTCTCGTCTAACTGCCTCTGTCCCTCCAGGATCCCCACTGCCAGCATGTGGGGTGCCGTGGGTGCCGTGGGGCTGGTGTGGGCCACAGACTGGCGTTTGATCCTGGACTGGGTACCTTACATCAATGGCAAGTTTAAGAAGGATAATTAGGAAAACCCCGTCACACTCAGGATCTCCCTGGTGAGTCTGAGTGTTGGGCCTGATTGCTGTGGGGTGGGGGTTCTGGGGTAGCCAAGAGGTAGAGCGGGGGATCCCTCAGACCTTCCCACACCCAGGACTCCCTCAGCTGCTGAACTGGCTAGCGGCCTAGCTCGGAGCTGGTGCCCGAGGCAGTCCCTTGCCCCAGGCCTCTTGGGATAGGCTGAGGGTATGCAACACTGTCTTCATCGAGCCACGGCAAACTGGCTATTTTGCTTATGTTGAAAGTTTGATGCCCACAAGGCAGTCCTGTGTGGACCACTTGTGTGTGTGTGTACGTGTACACTTACATGTGTGCACACACTGGTATGAAGGCCAGGAATTGAGATGGGTACTGAACCTGAGCCCCCCACTTTGGCTAGGTTATCTGGCCAACCAGGAGCTCCCCGGAATCTGCTTGTCTGGTGCCATCTCTCTCCCAAGTGCTGGGCTACAGGCATGCACAGCAGTGCCTGGCTTTCATGAGGGACCAGAGATTCGAACTCAGTTCCTCATTCTTGCACAGCAGACTCCTCTCACTGGGCCATCTCCCTGCCTCTCTACTTTTTCAAACTTTTTTCCCCCGAGACAGGGTTTGGAGCCTGTCCTGGCACCTGCTCTGACTACTTCATTTTTTGCAAGGTGTGTATGTGTGCATGCATGTCCACAGAGACCAGAAGAGGACTCCAGCACCCCTGGCTTGGAGTCCCTGGTGGTTATGAGCTTCTCTGTGGTGCTGGGAACTGAACCTATGCGTGTCATCTGTACCTTACTCTCTGATTGGCTACAGCAGCCAACCATCTGGGTTTTCTGGACTGTCAGGTCCACATCCTATGGCAGACACCTTACCTACTGATCACGTCCCTAGTCCTCTTTCCTCACCTTACAGCTCAGTGACACTGTTGGGGTCATTCACAGAGCTCTGGGCCCCTGGGCTGGCTCCCTATACGCTCGGCTCAGCTGACGTAGTCCCCTTCCGCAGGCTCGCACCTGCTGTCAGCTCACCCGATGTCCCCTTCCCCAGGCTCACACCTGCAGTCAGCTCACCTGACCTCCTCCCCTTCCCCAGGCTCACACCTGCTGTCAGCTCACCTGACCTCGTCCTCTTNCAGCTCACCTGTTGTCATCCCCTTCCCCAGGCTCACACCTGCTGTCAGCTCACCTGTTGTCGTCCCTTTCCCCAGGCTCACACCTGCTGTCAGCTCACCTGTTGTCCCCTTCCCCAGGCTCACACCTGCTGTCAGCTCACCTGACCTCTTCCCCTTCCCCAGGCTCACACCTGTTGTCGTCCCCTTCCCCAGGCTCACACCTGCTGTCAGCTCACCTGACCTCCCCTTCCCCAGGCTCACACCTGCTGTCAGCTCACCTGTTGTCATCCCCTTCCCCAGGCTCACACCTGCTGTCAGCTCACCTGTTGTCGTCCCTTTCCCCAGGCTCACACCTGCTGTCAGCTCACCTGTTGTCCCCTTCCCCAGGCTCACACCTGCTGTCAGCTCACCTGACCTCTTCCCCTTCCCCAGGCTCACACCTGTTGTCGTCCCCTTCCCCAGGCTCACACCTGCTGTCTCAGGAACAGTTCAGCTTCGTGAAGGATGCTGAGGAAGCTGGACATGGCCAAGTCCCGCAGCTCCCGGGGAGCCTCTGCGCAGATGCACACTTGGGCTGCCTTGATGGGTGTACATTAAACCTTGTTCTCACACTTCCGACGCTCGGTCTTCTCGTGCCCTCTGCCTGGTTCCCCCTCGTCCTCAAGGCTTCCCCACTGCAAGGGTCCTTTCAGCACCCAGCATTTAGAGAGCTGGCAAGCAGAAATCCCACCACACTTAAGGAGCTTCTAGATGGAAAAGCACAGTTTGTTCTCCGGGCTGCCCAACAAGTCACTCTCTATTTTAATGGCTTTTAAATTAGTGTTCAGGGCCCCTGTGGCCACCACACCCAGCATAGTAGGGCTTCTTCCTTCAGGTTTAGTTTGTTTTTGAAACAGGGTCTTAGGTAGCCTAGGCTGGCCCCAAACTCAATATGTACCCAAGGCTGACCTTAAACTTACCTGACTGTCTCCACTTTACAAGTGCGGGGGTGACAGGTGTGACCGCCATGCCTGCGTTTGTGGGGGGGAGAATGGCTCCTAGGGCTTCCTGTATGGTAACACAGAGCTGAACCAAGGACGCTCCAGTCCTGGCACGATGGTACACATTTTCACCTAAGTATTTTATTTCCTGTGGGTTCCCGATAGAGTTGGCTGTGCGCTGACTTTGTCTCAGAGTCCTGAGTACAGTGCACCCACCTGTCTAATACATGGAGAGGCCAGCCTGTGCTACTTGAGACCTGGTCTCAAAAAAGGTGGGTGGTAAAGAGCACTTGTTCTTGTGGGACACCCAACACCTATTCTCAGCACTTCACGGTGCTCCAGGCTCAGGAGCTCCCTGCCCCCCTGGCCTCTGAGCACCAGACACACATGATGCACAGACGGACATGTAGGCAGAATATCCATACACATAAATCTTTAATAAAAACAACCCACCTAGGCCTGGTGATGCAGGCCTGGCATCCCAGCTGTGCAGGGTGCTCAAGCAGGGGGACTGGAGTTAAAGCCAGCTTGAGTGACCTTTGACTTCAGGGGTGGTCAAGCTGTGTCTTCCATGCTTGGAAGGCTGAGGTACGATGGGGGGAGAGCCTGTCCCAAACCAGGCTGGGGACAGGACGAGGCTCTGAGTGTGGTGGCACACACCTGCCATCCCAAGGTCTGTAAGGTTGGAAACGCCCTGGGCTACTTAAGAGGCCTTATTAGTTTTAAAAAATAATGCAGGAGGCAGTAACCTGCTTGCCACGCAAACATGAGAACATTGTCAGCACCCACAGGAAGCCCAGCAGGGAACCTCCCTGGCCAGCCAGTTTAGGCAAACGGTGAGCTACAGGTTGAGAGACTCGCCTGGGAAAATCAGATGTTTCTGGACAGGCAAAGTACAATTATTTTTTGAGACAGGGTCTATCTGTCCTGGAACTCACTATGTAGGCCAGGCTAGCCTCAGACTCGCACAGATCGGCCTAACCCTGTTTCCCGAGGGCTAGCACCGCCCGGCAAGAATAAACTTAAAAAACAGTTTTTGGAGCCGGGTGTGGTGGTGCTCGCCTGTCAACCAAACGTTTAGTGTAGAGGCTGGGGCAGGAGCCGCAAGGTAAGCAGGACTGGATTGGCGTTGCACCAGATCACAGCCACAATGGCCAAGAGACAGATAGGAGTCCCGCCAAAAGCACACTACGCAGGTGCAGGCGAGCGCGACCCCTGGACAGCCCGCCTGGCGGAAACGGTTGCAGCATGGAAGGGACTAGGTAGGTGCAGGACGCCTAAGGCGTTCAGAGCGCAAGCGCGGGCGCGGTCCCGCCTTCGTCACGCTGATTGGCTGTCCCCGCCGATTGGTCTCGCCGCCACGGGGCGTGTCCTGCCAATGCAGCTGGGCGGGGCCCGAGGGCGGCTCGGCGCGGAGGCGCCCGGGCTGATCCCATTGGCCTCACCGCCGCGGGGCGGGCCTTGCGAGCGCGTGGGGACGTGGCCGAGGCTGCGGCTGCGCAGACGCGCCCCACGCGCGGGCGGGTGGGCGGAGCGGCCCCCCCTAGCGGGGGCTGGGAAGCGCGGGGAGGGGGCCGAGCGGGTGGCAAAGCCGGCGCGCGCCCGGCTGGGGGCGGAGGGCGGAGGCCCGCGGGTCGGAACAGCCGCGGCGAGCGGCGGTGCCGGCGGAGGCAACCGAGGCGGCGACGAGCCTGGGGGTCGCGACTTGCAGCGGCGGCGGCATCGGCGACGGCGGGCCCCGAGGCGGGCGGAGAGCCGGGGCGCGATGGAGCGGAAGAGGTGGGAGTGCCCGGCGCTCCCGCAGGGCTGGGAAAGGGAAGAAGTGCCCAGGAGGTCGGGGCTGTCGGCCGGCCACAGGGATGTCTTTTACTATAGGTGAATGAGCGCGCCGGCCGCGCAGGGCCCCAACGGGCGCCTCCCAGCGGCCTCTGCGGCGGCCTGGGCGCCCCTACTGCGGGCCGCGGTCTGGGCCGGGCGACGTGCGTGCGAGAGTGCGTCCTACGTGCTAGACGTGGCCAGTGCGCACGCGCCAGCCTGGGCTCGCCGCTCAGTGCGCGTGCGTCCGACCCAGCGCCTGCCCTCCTGTTCGTGAGGGCCTCTCCGCGCTGCAGTCACTCAGCACGTGTGCGCCACGCGGGGCTTTCGCTGGCCCAGTACGCGTGCGCGCCGCCCGCGACTGCAGCCTCGCGGCTTCGCGCCCTCCTGTGGCGCGAGCTTTTGTCCTCTGCGGAGTCCGGGACCGTGCACGCCGGGCTAGGGGCGCCCGGCCTTGGCCAGACGCCGCTGGGAAGCAGGGGTGGGAGGGGGCTGGGCTGACCCTTTGACCCTTGAGGGGAATTCGCGGGTACCATAGCGGGGTTCCGGGGAGCAGGGCGAACTGCTCCAGGTGGCCTGGTTCCCCTCAGCTATGTATTTTTGCCTTTTTCTTTCTAAATGTCATTTTTGTGGTTCTTCTAAAGCCATCTCTTACTCGTTCCCCCAGAAGTAACATCTGCCATAGTGACTTCTGAGTACTGTGAACATTTAGCCTTTGTTGCTTTTGTGTCCAAGACTTTTTTTTTTTTTTTTGATGCAGTGTCTAGGTAGTAGTCTACGGAAACCAGGCTGCCTTGCAACCCACGGCTTTTTTTTTTTCTTTTTTTTTTTTTTTTTTTTTTTTGCGGTAGTGAAAACCCTGGGCCTCAGGCATGCAACTGGCCCCTTCCCCCATTTCAGTCAGGATTGCATGGGTGCTTTGTGCGGAGACTCGGCTGGCCCCTTGCTCTTGTACAGTCACGGGTTTAGATAAGGTTGGAACCAGAACCAACTCAGGTTCCCTTTGGGTTGAAATGAAGAAGGCCCTTGGTTCACAGAGGTCTGAGGGGGGCTGCAAATGGTGTCTCCAGGTCACATGTGCATGCGGCCCCGCCCCCTTCTCCCTGACTTGCCCAGCCTTGTTGGAGCTTGTTAACCCCGGGGGTTCTGTCTTCTGGAGTCCTTTAAGCCACGATCTCAAGTCTGCTACCTTCTTCCTGGAGCACTCAAAATTCTCCTCAGCCTGCAGCCGGCCTTGCCGCTAGAGAGCTGAGCTGTCACCACCTCTGTCTAAAGCACTGAGTGGTGAGAAACATAACTGGTGCTTGTTGGGACCTGTGCCCCTCCTCTTTTGGGAGGTGGTCCAAAGCCACCTTGTCCCCAGGCTGTAGTTATCCTCCTTGTCTCGTCCTCCTTTGCCCCAGGATAGCTACAAATGTCATCCAACTCATTTGTGCATAACATCATCACTGTCACGATTCTGCCCGGTTCCTCACACAGCCGGACACCATGTGAACTCTTAGGCCTGGAACCCTGTCCTGGTGTTACTGCAGGTCTACACTGCCTGCTGAGGGCAAGCTCGAGCTGCCCGGTCGGTGGGTTCAGTACATTTTCCCTCGGTAAGCTCTCAATAGACTTCTGTGTTGGGATCTGCAGAGCCACGCTCAGGAACAGTGTGTTACCAGGGCGTACCCACATGGGAAGTCGCTGCCACAGCCATTCTGACTTGAGTTTCTTTTGTATTTTTGAGACAGGATCTTGCTGTGTAGCTCAGACTGGCCTGGAACTTGGGGACTCTCCTTCCTCAGCCTCAAATGAGAGGCATGTGCCACCCTGCCTGGTTTGTTGATATGTTTTGACCTGTATGCCAGATTCGCTCATTAAGAGGCAGTGGGCTTTTAGCATGCTCAGACAGGTGGGGTCACCATCAAATATGATTGTGGAACATTTATCATTTTTAAATGAGTGCAGTCAGGATCAGGAAGCCTTCGCCTTACACTACCCCGTGCTCCCTCCCACCCCTTAAGCAGCTGCCAATCAAAGTCCTGAGCCTGGGTAGGGTCCACAAGATTGGATCTGAAGCTTGGTACATTATGTGGGCTCAGTGCTAGCTAACCCAGTGGTTTTGGGATTCCAGGCAGTATGGGCTAGGATGCCTCATGCTGGGATTTGCAGACTGGTAACATGCCAAGCCGCCGGCCAGCTGTTGCTGTGATTTCCTCACACTGGGGAATCTCTCCTGGCAGAGGATTCCAAGGGCTCTAGGATCCTGAGTATACCTGGGGCATTGTCTGTTTGGGCAGGACAGTCACATGCACGAGGTTCCCAACAGACAACACTATCTGAGCTATAAAGAGTTACAGTGATTGCCAGTGAAATGTAGCAACTGCCCGAGTGCCAAGCAGTCCTACCAGAGGCTCCCTGTGCCTGCAGAGGCTCCCTGCAGCTGCGGGGCTGAGACTGGTTGGACCCAGAGCTGCACACACGCTAGAGCACTCACTAGTGCACGCTCACCACTGTGCCACAGCCAGCCTGTCACCATTTCTGACTTTACTGATAACAAAGATTATGCAACTGTAAGACCAATCCCAGAACATTTCTAGCCCTAACAAATCTACTTGTTCTGGAACGTTCCCTATCCATGGGGTCCCCCCCCATGGTGTGGCCTTTTATGCCTGAGTATGATGTCCTCAGAGCTCCTGCATATTGTATGTCAAAGCTTTGCTCCTTTTCCTGGCTGAGTATCGCTCCAGCGTGCGGTGAGCTATGCATCTGGGACTACACAGGCTGCCCCCATCTTCTGACTCTGTGAGTGTTTAGCACGAGGTTGGGTGGGA